AAAAATTTTTTTTTTCTCTCTACTGTACTCTGTCATGCAGAGTTTGTTAAATCTGAGCTCTGAGAGCATATTATCAATAAAGAAATTAGTGAACATCATTCATCAGGAAACACATACTTTATGCATCTTTGGCATAGCCAGTCTTGGTATGCATGAGACATTTGTCCTTTTCTTAGGCAAACTCCTAATTATTCTACTTAGCTAAGTGAAAATCAAAAAGCAGTTCAGTTCTTTTTGTTCTCACTTTGCAGTCAGTGGGTTTTTTGCGCGAATAAGAACCACTGAAGTTTTTACCTGCTGTTCCTAAGTTGGTACTAAAAAAGAGCAAGGCTGAGAGGAGACGGAATCCCAAATAGTTAGAAATGGTTTAAAAAGGTGATTCCAAGCCACGCTTTATTTTTCTCATCAATGTTCCTTTACCAGCCTGAGTTTAAAGGAATGCTTTTAGCTATACTACCAGATCCCCAGATCACTTCTTAAATTTGAAGGAGTAACTGGAATTAAATTAATTTGAATAGTTCTCCGCATTTCAACGCTGACTTGCTTCTCCTAGTGAGTTTGTAACATTACTTATTATTTAAGTGGTGGATTCTATCATTCTTGCGTAAGTAACTAAAACAAGCTAATCGTTCCTTGGAAGATTATTTTTAATAACTACAAGTTAAAATACCTATTAATTTTTTTTCCTTGTTTTAATTTTCTTTTTTTTAAATTTTCTTAAAAAATAATTTTATTTCTGTTTATTTGAGGGGTTTGTTTGTTTTCTTTTCCAGGCTGCTCTTCTAAGTATTGTACTGAGAGACTCATTTGCAGCTCCTGAGAAGGACATTTTCCAAGCTTTGATGAATTGGTGTAAACATAACCCCAAGGAAAACCACGCTGAAATCATGCAAGCAGTACGTTTGCCACTAATGAGTCTAACAGAATTACTAAATGTTGTAAGACCTTCTGGATTGTTGTCACCTGATGCCATCCTAGATGCCATTAAGATTCGTTCCGAGAGTCGGGACATGGACCTGAACTACAGGGGCATGTTAAGTAAGCATCAGGTTTTTTGTTTGTTTGTTTTCTCATTTAGTGACTATAGTTATCTGGAGGATATGATTAATTTGTTCTTTAAGTTTTTATCTATTATTACGTGTTTTAAAAGTATTACATAATGAAGTATCTTGTTATGTACTGTTCTTGCCATTTCTATTCCTCAAATAACATTAGTCAACATATTTTCTTGCTTTGTATCTCAGATATTGCTCAAACATAAATGTTGTCTTTTAGAGTGTATTTTTCTATTCTATTTTAATAGAAAATAGTTTGCAAAAACATAAACCATAAAAATGCATTGACTGTGGGATATATGATATTTAAATAGATTCATATTGGTGGTGACTTGTGTTCTACTTCATGAAGATTTTCATTTTTTTTCTCTCCACTATGTTTGGTTTTTCTCTTGCTCTTTACATGTTTGCCCAAATAGTATCAACAAGTCTTCCAAAATTGTCTTAATGGAAGCCTAAAAACTGTGGGAAGCTTTTTGTTTAACTTTTGTCTGTGCTCTCTGGTATTTCAACAAGAACATCTAACCCTGAGCTTTAGAAAGATATTGCTAGTTTGCTATCTCATATGTGATTTATAGAGAGTATTTGCCCCACAGCAAATAGCTAAATGTTCTTTGAGGTCCTGCACTGTAGTCTGTCAGTCATGCATGATGAGAGCTGAAAATAACTGCTTTCTCAGAGCTGCATCTCCCCTTTGTTCTCTCTTAGAAGTTGCAGATATTAATATTTAAATGTATGAGTTAATATTAGGATATTGCAAAAGTCTTACGTAAGACATTCTGTTGACAATACAGTAGATAAATTCGAAAAAGTTAAATAGTGTTTTCTGACTTCTTTTTCTACTTATTTATGTCTCTAATCATATGCTTCTAATCTTGAAATTTCTAGCTTGCTCAAAATCACCGATTTTTAGAAAATTGAATTTCAGGGGCGTTTTAGTACTAGTTCAGGCTCTTGAGACTTTTGTGGATATGCTGACGACCACTTGCAGTTTCACAGTTGTGCATTTGATGTTTTTGTGTAGTAGTACTACAATACAGTTAAAATTTTACCACTTCAAATTCTGTTCTTTAGATGTTAACTTAAAATCCTGTTAAAATTCTTACTTCTCTTGCCAACCTGCCTGAAGAATTTGGGGACAGCTTTTTATCATTTAGCTTTTAGATCATGTTTTATAGATGTCTCCTCAAACAAAACTGTTGAAAATGTCTTTCTAACAGGGTGGTTCATCAATATATTGTTTTGTTGTTGGAGTTAGGGATCATTATCCCCGGTTATCTTGACGGAAGATTTGTTCCTAGGACGTAACAGGTTTATTTCTGTGAAACAGTGGCATAAAAATCTTGCTTTACCATGTTGGTTCAAAGCCTCAGCAGCCAAAAGTTTCCCGTTTCACTCAAGCTTTTTTAGCTTTGCAGAGTACTGGAAGCTTGAATATCTATCAAAATAGCTTGTATAGCTATACCACTCCATATACCGCATACCATTTCCTTCTACTTCAAATAAAAAAAAAAAATCCAGTTGAAATTAGAAAAAATGAATCAGAAAGAAGGGACAAAGAAATTATTAGATGTATGGTGAGAGGTTGGTCACAAGGAGAGACTAAATAGACCAAAACTTTAAAACCATGAGGAAAGCGATGATTGAATGAGGAAGGTGCAATAGAATTCTGTAAAATCATGAAGAGGACTGAGTCTATAAATACCATGCACTAGTAAATTATCAGTACTTACTATTAAAATAAACGACCTAGGGGGCATCAGATGAAATTGAAGAAGCAAATTTTCTAAAATGCCTCTCTTTTTGTACTTTTGTTTTTAGCTTGAGCATGTATTTGTGGCCAAGAAAGGATACTGGTAATAAGTCTTTGTTCTGACCTAACGCTGTTGATGTTCAGAATATCTAATTTGCAGTATGGAGTGTAAAAACTAAGCAATTATTTCCTTTTTTCTTAGTACCAGGGGAAAATATTGCAACAATGAAGTATGGAGCGCAGGTTGTAAAAGGGGAGCTGAAGTCTGCTTTATTAGATGGGGATACGCAGAACTACGACTTGGATCATGGCTTCTCTCGACACCCAATCGATGATGACTGCCGTTCTGGAATTGAAATTAAACTAGGCCAGCCGTCAATAATCAACCACATACGAATACTCCTGTGGGACAGAGATAGTCGGTAGGTGCCAAGTTGGCGTAAGAAGGGAAGGTAATGCATTTTGTACTGGTGATAATATCAGCGCGAAATATTTGTTAAATATTTTATAGAAACAGCATGATACAGTGTTGGAGATGACAATGAAAAGTTTTATTTGAAAAAGCCTTGGTTTTTAAATGCAGTTTTGGTTGCTTATGCACCAGACCTTACATTGTGATACTAAAATACCTCCTAATATTTCAGCGTAATTTTTTTTTGTCTTAATTAAATAGTTTATATTAATAATGAAAGTTTATGTAATTTAAATTGTTTTAATTGTTTTCAGTTTGCCACGTAGTTTTCAACTGCTTTCACTTCAGTTTGAAAGATTGTATTTTAGTTCTTTTGCAGAAACCATGTTTTTTATATATTTACATTCCAAACATTGAAGGAATAGTAGTTCAGATTTTTTCAAGATATCAAAATCGTTAAGTATTAACACATTTTGATTATTCAGAGATAGTAAAATTTATTTAGAGTGTGAATTACTGAGTAACTGCAGCAGTTCTTAGAAGCCACTTCATGGTGAGACTGCTGAAGTATGAACTATCATGGATGCCTTAGCCAATTTCTGCTCAGCTACTTTAGATTATTTTGGAATGCATGAAAGATAAAATTATGCATATGTGAGCAATTGAGTGACTGCTTAAGTAGGAAAATTGCAAGGTTCTTTTCATCTGACAAATTGAGTATATTAATTTTATAACTTGCCATGACAAAGATTTTATAGTTCAGTAAACAGCTCATGCAGGTATTCATAAGCAATTTTCTATTAAAAACAATGAGACAAGCTACTTATACTTTTAACACCTTATTACTTTTCTGATAAAAGATTAATTTTATATTGCTTCCAGACTAACAGCTTAGAATTGCAAAACAGTTGCATTTTGTTTTCTTAACTAAGCTGTGTTATTTTTGAACAGGGTTCATTAATGCTTTTATTGATTTTTATTTTTATTTTTTGTAAATTAAATTATTTTAAAATTATGAATTACAGTAATTAATCATTCAAAACAAACTGCATGAATTTTTAGCTAATTAATTGTTTCAAGTAAGTTCTCATTCAGTTCAACTGAAATTTATGCTTCTCCATTCTTTTTTGAAAGATTGGAAAGTAAAACTTTGAAAGTACAAGGAACTACTTCATACAATATTATGCTACTTGTCTCAGAAGATCAACAAAGTTTATAAAGCAATTATCAACCGATTTTATAAAATTTTAAAAAGTAATAGGGACATAATAATAATAATGAGGAGTTCTCTGGCAATTTTTAGAGAGCTTGTAACTGTTGAAATGCTCCTCATCTGCAAGGCATAAATCAGCAGCTGCTGAAGCGCAGGGAAAAACTCTTGTCTTTGGGACAACTTACTAAAAAATGATTCGTTGCTTGGTGTCCTTTGCCCTTCCTCTGAAATTTGTAGAACAAACCATTGTTGGTGGCAGACTATCAGACAAGATGGACCTCTGCTCCAGAGTTCTTTATCATTGTAAAATACTGAGGGTACAGTGGTTTAGGATCTAGTTTCTGTGTCATCCTGACTTTTTTGTTTTTCTATGAAAAGTTTGCTATTGGACTTTTCTTTTTATTCTTAGCGGGTGTAGTACCTGAGTTGTCAAGCTTTTTCCCTCCAGTAGCTCAACTGTGTAAGATAAATGGAAAAGGAAGCATTTGTAGTATTTTGTT